GACAATTTAAGATTCGATCATAAGTAATTTGTATCTCACAATCACAACTCCTTATGATTAACAAATCACCAAGACTTGAATCTACGGATTCTATTATTTAATTTATTAGAATATTAATTCAATTAAATAATAGATATTGCCATGCATGCATCAATTATATATATTTAAAGTGTTTATGTCCAAAATTGATTGGACTTAGGGCATAACACTTACAGTTTTGACATAATTTACATGCTTCAATAGGTGTGAATGAAGTATGTTCTTCTCGAGATGGATCGCATCCTCCGGCCAAAAGGGTATGCAATCATCCAGGAGACCAGCTACTTCGTGGATGCTGTTGCTACCATGGCTAAGGGAATGAGATGGGGATGTCGTAAAGGAGGCACATAAATTAGCTTCTAGATAGCAAAGATATTAATTTGCTAGGTATTCTTCCAAGCAAAGTTCAAGATGATGAATGAAGAATATATTCATAATACTTTAGGAGATAGTTAAGTTATATAGAATCTTACAGAAATCACATGTTATGTAAAATATTGAAAATCAAAACATTTGAAAATTTAGCCACCCAATATGGCTCCATGCTTTTTTAAGGTTGTTGTTTACGAAAATATGTTCGCTTTGTAAATCACCGCAAGTGCACGGTTTGTTAACAAGTAATAAAGTGAAAATTGTAAAATTTCGAGTATCGTCCCAAGATGATTGATTTGATTTGATTTCTATTATCAAAACCTTAACCGAATCTATTAAACTCAAGATGGTTGGAGATTTGAATTTTATAACTAAACTATGACTAACATGCAATTTAAACTAAAATTACGAACTAAATGTAAATGTAATGGTTGAATGCAAAAATTGAAGAAATTAATGTATGAAAAAGCGTACTATGATCTCGAATCACCAAACAAGTTCACTTTAACTCCTATTTCACAATTTGATAACACGATGAATTGGTTGAAAAATCAATGTTTTTAATTTATTCAATAATCTCTTTCGAGTAGAATTGAACCTATTCTCACATAACATTTGACTATATTTCTATGACAAATACATATACAAGAATGCATGACGTTTTATAAACACTTAAATATTCACGTAATGCATATCGGTATATTTCTATTCTTTATGAACAAAATGATGATTTATACCTTGTCGAGTTTCTTTTTCTTTTTTTGAATGCATAAAATAAACCACCCAAACTCATACAATTATCGTGCACTATAATCATGGAGGCAAGAAAGTGTATATAAATCATTCAACATCCATCAAACG